GCACTACTGTTCAAAAGCTTTACATCGGTAAATGTTTTTGAAAAAAGTCTCATGCTCACCAAGGCTGTGTTTATTTGATTGAAAATACAGTAAAAACAGTAATATTATGAAATCATTACAATTTAGCTAATTTGTATTTTTATATATATAAAAAGTAATTTATTCACGTGATGACCTTTCAGAATCGCCCTCCTTGGATGAATTCGGGCCCTACTGATAACAGGAATTTCCATGGCATGCACCAGGGTCCTGGTGGCCCTCACAACTTCCCTCCACCAATGCCAAGCATGGGTGGCCCTCCTATGCCGCCAAACCCCAATGGAATGCCTCCACCCTGGATGCAGCCGCCACCTCCTCCAATGAGCCAAGGCCCAGCACCACCCGGACACCCCATGGGTGAGTACAACCTGTGATGTTCAGGATTTCAGTTCTATAATTTCTTCTTAATGGAGCAAATAACATCTCTGGAAGGATAGAGGCACATAACTTGATATTTCCCATTTATATTGAGAACGTTTCCCATAAAAATCCAGACTTGATCCAGACAGATTTTTATTTTGGAATATTAAAATATGCAATGCTGTCATACTTGGATACTTGGTGTTCCAGAAAGCTAAAACTGTTTCCTTCTCTTGTCTGGTGATCAGGTTTATTGCCGCCACCCATGGGTATGATGCCCCCGCCTCCACCTCCCCCCAACAACCAACCACCACCTCCACCCTCAGGACCTCTGCCACCTTGGCAACAGCAGGCCCCTCCCCCACCACCCACCAGCAGCATGGCAACCAGCGCTCCACTACCTTGGCAACAGAGTAAGTGTATTACAGTAGTACACAGTTGATGCCATTTAAAGGGTTTCCTTTGCCTCAGACTGACTTGTTTTTTTGTTTTTCCAGATATAACCACCACATCCACCCCTGCCACTGGAAATCTGCCACCCTGGCAACATCCTCAGCAGACTGCCAGCTCAGCCACTCAGCCCATGGGCACCCCCTCTATGGTGCCGCCTCCACCTGGGGTCCAACCCCCACTTCCTCCTGGTGCACCACCTCCTCCACCGCCCCCTCCACCTGGCTCAGCAGGCATGATGTACGCACCTCCTCCCCCACCCCCACCCATGGACCCTAACTTTGTGACCATGATGGGGATTCCCGGAATGCCACCTTACGGGATGCCCCCTGCGCCTCCACCGCCTCCGCCCCAGAGTTAAAGGCTCCATTTAGTCTCTATGGCCCTGTGACCATGCAGCAATGCCTAAAATATACATCACAGAACTGTACCAGTTCTGTTCATTTAACAGCTTGATGTGATTAGTTGCTAAAGGTTTATTTTTCTTTTGATTGGCCTCGGTTCAGATTTGTTTCCCATGCTTGGACACAGAAATCGAGCTAGTGAGAGAGACCGAGATCGTGGTTAATTTGTAAATTTGCTTCAATTGTAATGATTTTTAACTGTAGTATTTGATCTGTTGGTTGAATATTTGTTCAAAATGTTGATGTGCAGGGAATGTGTGTTTTGTTTTTGTTTCTGCCAGCCTGCTTTCATGTTTTTTTGAACCCTCTCCAGTGAGTAAAGGTGACTTCTGCTTAAGATTCAGTTAGCAACATTCCAACAGGTGTATAAACAACCATTTACACTTAACCAGCTGTGCGTTTATTGCTGCATAGTAGAAAAATACATTTATGTCTTCAAGATGTTGTAGATGATTGGCTTACACTATTAGGTGGTCAGTATAATTTGTGCTCACCTTGTATCCCATCCCTCCCAAAATGTTTTATTTAAAATAACTTTTCATTAATTGCCTTCCACCAAATGTATTTCAATATTTTTGTAATGAAGCATTCAACTAAATAAAAGTTGGCATGGTGTTGAATTGTCATCTCTCACATTTGTTATACCAGCATCAAGTCTTAACTCAGATTCACTGGTTGATGGTGAGGGGTTTTTCCCTTCCAAAAGATGCTGTTAAACCTTTCAAATAGAAGCAATTTTATTTTTGATTCAAAGATTAAGTTATGTATGCAGTTTTCACTATTTTATTTAGAGCCTGTTTCCCTGGTCACCACAGCAAGAATGTTTGCTGTCTTCCCCATCTTTCTTTTTCCCAGGTAGTTGCCTTGGTTTTTACTAGTTGTATATGTGGTGTTTTCTTTGTGCACCTAGTGTTTAAAAACACAAGTTTGTTGTCATGCTGCAAAAAAAAGAATAGGTGCTTTAACATAATATGAAGTGGCTGTTGCTCAGATTTACTTTGACAATTTATATTCCTGTTGTGCACAGAGTATATAAGATAAAAGTACAGTCTGAGAATGTGTATTGCAACTGAACAAGCTAATATGAGGCTGCAATAACAAGAACCTCAAGTTACATGGTAGCTCAGAAGGTTCTTCTGGGAACATTGTAAGCTAGTAATTTGGTTTTTGATGGACATTGACATCAAATTGGTTCATTGCAGGAGTTTATTGCTGTTCAAATGTATTCAAAATGCTCAAATTCTGCGTTGTAATGCATATACAGGCGCATCTCCAAAAATTAGAATATCGTGGAAAGTTATTTTTTGTAACTTATTTCAAAAAGTGAAACTTTAATATATTCTAGATTAATTACATGTAAAGTAAAACATTTCAAAAGTTTTTTTTATTTTTTTTGAGAATGTGTATTGCAACTGAACAAGCTAATATGAGGCTGCAATAACAAGAACCTCAAGTTACATGGTAGCTCAGAAGGTTCTTCTGGGAACATTGTAAGCTAGTAATTTGGTTTTTGATGGACATTGACATCAAATTGGTTCATTGCAGGAGTTTATTGCTGTTCAAATGTATTCAAAATGCTCAAATTCTGCGTTGTAATGCATATACAGGCGCATCTCCAAAAATTAGAATATCGTGGAAAGTTATTTTTTGTAACTTATTTCAAAAAGTGAAACTTTAATATATTCTAGATTAATTACATGTAAAGTAAAACATTTCAAAAGTTTTTTTATTTTTTTTATTTTGATGATTAGAGCTTACAGCTCATGAAACTCAAAAATCCAGTGTCTCAAAACATTAGAATATTTACGTTGGAGTTTCATTAAATGACCATCCCTACAGTATAAATTCCTGGTTATTTCTTGTTCTTTGAAACCACAATAATGGGGAAGACTGCTGACTTGGCAATGGTCCAGAAGACAATCATTGGCTACGTTTACATGCACAATTTTTGGTTCAAATAGGACTGAATTCATTCCGATTGATGAATCTGAATGTAGTGTTTACATGAACGCTAGAGAAAGTGACCGGGTTGATGTGCGTGTTTATATGTCACAAGCTTCAAATCGGAATTGATTTTTTTTGACATGCGCACACTGCACAAATATAGAGTTTCTCACTGTTTGCACATAACCACTTTCCTACATGGTTTATTTATTTGTTTTTAACAGCAGAATTCATATTAATTTATGGATAAATATACATATAAACTGCTGTGCCGTGCTGCTCATATTTATCACACAGTAAAAATTTCCCAAAGCGGGTTGCCTGTGGATGAGAATCCAAAACAAGGACTGGTGGGAGGTTGTCCTGCTCCACTTCACAGTTGCCGAGTGAAAGGAGAGTTTTATAATGACAGTACATGCATTTATACAACACTTTATTCAAAAGGAAGGACCGCTCGTTCCACGCGTCATACGTCATTACGCTATTTCTGCGTCATTGCACATGCGCAGTTCTTTCAGTTTCGGGGTTCAATCCGATCGAGTGTTTACATGCACTCTCAATTGTATTAGAAAAGGAATAAACCCCCCCCTTCAATCTGATCGAAATTTCATTCCAATTGAGCTCAATCGGATCGATTAAGGTGTTTACATGAAGGTTTTTCAGTCCGATTGAGCCGTCAATCCGATTATAAATGGATTATTTGGTTGCATGTAAACGTAGCCATTGACACCCTCCACAAAGAGGGTAAGTCACAGAGGGTCATTACTAAAAGAAGTGGCTGTTCACAGAGTGCTGTATCAAAGCATATTAAATGCAAAGTTGACTGGAAGGAAGAAATTGGGTAGGAAATGGTGCACAAGCAACAGGGATGACCGCAAGCTTGAGAATGCTGTCAAGCAAAGCTGATTCAAACACTTGGGAGAGCTTCACAAGGAGTGGACTGAAGCTGGAGCCAGTGCATCAAGAGTCACCACACTCAGACGTCTTCAGGAATAGAGCTACCAAGCCACTTCTGAAACAGAAACAACGTCAGAAGCATCTTACCTGGGCTAAGGAGAAAAAACTGGACTGTTGCTCAGTGGTCCAAAGTTTTCAGATAAACGTAAATTTTGCATTTCATTTGGAAATCAAGGTCTGGAGGAAGACTGGAGAGGCACAGAATCCAAGCTGCTTGAAGTCCAGTGTGAAGTTTCCGAAGTCAGTGATGATTTGGGGTGCCGTGGTCTGGTGGTGTTGGTCCATTGTGTTTTATCAAGTCCAAAGTCAATGCAGCCGTCTACCAGGAGATTTTGGAGCACTTTATGCTTCCATCTGCTGACAAACTTTATGGAGATGCTGATGTCCTTTTCCAGCAGGACTTAGCACCTGCCCACACTGCCAAAACCACTTGATTTGCTGACCATGATATTACTGTGCTTGATTGTGCTTGAAATGTTTTACTTTACTTGTAATGAATCTAGAATATACGAAAGTTTCACTTTTTGAATTTGAATTTGAATTTTAATGGTTTGAACGCTTTGTGTGTGCGCCACGTGATACTGGTACCCTCAAACTTGTCACATTTCTCTTGCTACTGTAATCTCAGTTAACAGTGTGCGAATTATTCAGTGGCCTTCAGATTGATCAACATTCTGTAGATTTTTGTTATGCAGTCTTTTGTGTAAGCAGTCGCGCAATTGGCTTATGTGACCCCAACTGATCAATTTAACCAATACTAACCAGTGTTTCATGAATTATGACCCGCCCAGCCTGTACATATATAGTAGCCATGTATATATAGAGGGGAGTGTGAGCGAGTGTGAGCGCCAATGAGCGCGCTTGACCCTGAAGCATCTGCTGGAGATCACAGTGACGCGCACACGCAGGAGGCATCACGCACACTGTATCCCTGGTGCGCCAAACCTCCTATTATATAACCAGCTACAAGATGTCCAAGCCACTGACGGACCAAGAGAAGAGGAAGCAAATTTCCGTGCGAGGTCTCGCCGGGGTTGAAAACGTCGCAGACCTCAAGACCAATTTTAATCGCCATCTGCACTTCACTTTGGTTAAGGACCGTAATGTTGCAACGAAGCGCGACTACTACTTCGCCCTGGCGCACACCGTCCGCGACCATTTGGTGGGAAGATGGATCCGGACGCAGCAGCATTACTACGAGAAAGACCCTAAAGTAAGAAACTCAAATGCCGCAGTTTCATCGTTCAGTCCGGGGTCGCACGTACACCACCGACAGACGGGAGGAGGGTCAGATCACACAACTGGCGACATAATGTTGCGCAGTAGAGGCTAGAGCCGCAACTCTGCAAAATACAAGAAAAATGACATTTTTATCTTTCTTGCAAGTGTAATACTGTGGTATTTATATTGCATCAGGAAATGCCGCTTAATGCATTAATGGTTCGGCAGATGGCAATGCCTTTTTACAACAATTGCATAAGCTTTCATGACTGATATCAGTAGCGACTGCATTCAATGTCCTGCAGATCAAGTCACACGAATGTATGGAAAGAGGGTGCCCTTGACAACTGTATCAACAGGTCAAATTGTTCTTTTATCATTGTTGACGGTGCGAGTTCGATAAAAAATATTAATAGGCCTATATGCTCGTGGTATATGTTAAAACAAGTAGACCTAATAGCTTTCTCTTATGCCCAACTGGAAACATCAATCAAATTACTGCACTGAACCGTTGCATTTACAAAACACACACACACACACACACACACACACACATACACACACAACAACAGCAAAAACATGTTTTCTACATAATTTCAGCATTTGATGCGGTTTTTATTTTTATAAACGTTACACGCTTAGATTTAAGTTTAAAAATCTTCAATTGACTGAATATGTTGTTGTCATCATAATGTCATCATAATTTCTGCATGTTTGTTGTGATTGGTTTTCTTGTGTTATTTTGCATACAGAATTGTGATTGGTTCAGTCCTAAAACCGGAACGAGAAGGTCTGCCGTTGTCACAAGGAAGCTAGTTTACATCCTTGACATATTACAAGCCCCCCCCCCCCCCCCCCCCTCAACTTATATTTTAAATAATGTTAACTGCAGATATTATTTTCTTCCATATAAATCCAAAAATACTATTTTTAAAAAGGAAAGGCAAAAAGAATCCTAAAACTTGAGTTTACCTACTTTGTAAGTACTTGTAATTCCTACAGGAAATGTACAATTCTGTTTTCTATTTTTTTTCATTCTAAAAATAAAGAGCTAAAACACGTGCAGTCTTAAAAATAATTGAAGGGTAGGATATAGTTTCTGTGTATTTGGAATTTGTCTGGGATCCTGGCAGAGTGTTCAACCTTAAATGCTGACAGCTAATGCTGCTATTTTTACATGAGCAATGTGTCAGAGACACAGCACAAACATTCTTCTGTCCTAACCTTTGTTATCATTTATAGACAAGAGACTAAATATTACGAACTAGTTTTGTGCACTAGCAAATCCTCCATGTTAGTTGTCATTGTGCAGCCTTCAATGATTGAATGTTTTGCAGTGGCGGTCAGTGAGGTCTCAGACGTCCATTACAGATTAGGCTTGTGTTGTGCACCTGTCACAATAATGCTTGTCATTAGATAGGCTAGTCTGCTCAGCAGCAGGGGCTTTTATGGCTCCTACTTCACTGTTGCTCGAAATGGCTCTCAGCTGTTGGCGTTAAATATATATATTTAAAAAAATTTTAATAAAAAAATGCTCTTTTTAAAATTGTATTCTTTATTTTTTTCACATTTCTCCTTATTTGTCTTACCTCTAGCGTGTGTACTATCTCTCTCTGGAATTCTACATTGGACGGACTCTTCAAAACACCATGGTAAACTTAGCTTTGGAGAATGCCTGTGACGAGGCCATCTATCAGGTGAGGACATATTTACAAATATTTCAAGCAAACCACAAACCCATTCAAAAAACCCATTGTATTTAGGATGATGGAACCACGAGTGTTAAAATTCTAACTCATTTTTGAGTTATGGCCTATAGGAATATGTCAGCCTTGCAGTACTCTGCAAGGAAGTAAATGTGAATGAATTGAAGTGTGAAATTTCTGCACCCCTAGTGGCGCAAAAAACTATTGCAATCTGGTGAATGGTCCTACTGCAGGGGTGTCTAAACCTGTTCCGGTTCCTGCCAGCGTCCTAGAGTTTAGCTCTAACCAGCTCCAACACACTTGCCTGGAAGTTTCCAGTGAGTCTGAAGATTAACTGGTTCAGGTGTGTTTAATTATGGTTGGAGCTAAACTCTGCAGGATGCTGGCCCTCCAGGAACAGGCTTGGACACCCCTGTCCTACTGTGTTCTACATAACAACATTGGCTCAGCCAGTGGTGTGTGTGTTTGGTGTGGGACTATTCATTTGTCCAAATAGAGGAGATCTATAATACACGGGGGACATTATCAGTTAGTAGTCCATTCATCTCAGTGCTTGAACCTTTAAAAATAAAATTTTGTATAAAGAAAGTGGCCATTTTCAGTCATCATCATAACCAGTGATAGCATAATAATAAATAAGGAGCTATAAATAAAGATCTTATGGATGAGATCTAGAGCTTTATGCATTGTAATACTTGCTAATCTTAGATCAGTTGCCCCTGGTTCTTTAATTCTAACTAAGAAATGAAAGACAAATCATTCTAGATATGCACTGCTATGCTGAAAAATAAAGCCCCCCCCCCCCCCCCCCCCTCAACTTATATTTTAAATAATGTTAACTGCAGATATTATTTTCTTCCATATAAATCCAAAAATACTATTTTTAAAAAGGAAAGGCAAAAAGAATCCTAAAACTTGAGTTTACCTACTTTGTAAGTACTTGTAATTCCTACAGGAAATGTACAATTCTGTTTTCTATTTTTTTTCATTCTAAAAATAAAGAGCTAAAACACGTGCAGTCTTAAAAATAATTGAAGGGTAGGATATAGTTTCTGTGTATTTGGAATTTGTCTGGGATCCTGGCAGAGTGTTCAACCTTAAATGCTGACAGCTAATGCTGCTATTTTTACATGAGCAATGTGTCAGAGACACAGCACAAACATTCTTCTGTCCTAACCTTTGTTATCATTTATAGACAAGAGACTAAATATTACGAACTAGTTTTGTGCACTAGCAAATCCTCCATGTTAGTTGTCATTGTGCAGCCTTCAATGATTGAATGTTTTGCAGTGGCGGTCAGTGAGGTCTCAGACGTCCATTACAGATTAGGCTTGTGTTGTGCACCTGTCACAATAATGCTTGTCATTAGATAGGCTAGTCTGCTCAGCAGCAGGGGCTTTTATGGCTCCTACTTCACTGTTGCTCGAAATGGCTCTCAGCTGTTGGCGTTAAATATATATATTTAAAAAAATTTTAATAAAAAAATGCTCTTTTTAAAATTGTATTCTTTATTTTTTTCACATTTCTCCTTATTTGTCTTACCTCTAGCGTGTGTACTATCTCTCTCTGGAATTCTACATTGGACGGACTCTTCAAAACACCATGGTAAACTTAGCTTTGGAGAATGCCTGTGACGAGGCCATCTATCAGGTGAGGACATATTTACAAATATTTCAAGCAAACCACAAACCCATTCAAAAAACCCATTGTATTTAGGATGATGGAACCACGAGTGTTAAAATTCTAACTCGTTTTTGAGTTATGGCCTATAGGAATATGTCAGCCTTGCAGTACTCTGCAAGGAAGTAAATGTGAATGAATTGAAGTGTGAAATTTCTGCACCCCTAGTGGCGCAAAAAACTATTGCAATCTGGTGAATGGTCCTACTGCAGGGGTGTCTAAACCTGTTCCGGTTCCTGCCAGCGTCCTAGAGTTTAGCTCTAACCAGCTCCAACACACTTGCCTGGAAGTTTCCAGTGAGTCTGAAGATTAACTGGTTCAGGTGTGTTTAATTATGGTTGGAGCTAAACTCTGCAGGATGCTGGCCCTCCAGGAACAGGCTTGGACACCCCTGTCCTACTGTGTTCTACATAACAACATTGGCTCAGCCAGTGGTGTGTGTGTTTGGTGTGGGACTATTCATTTGTCCAAATAGAGGAGATCTATAATACACGGGGGACATTATCAGTTAGTAGTCCATTCATCTCAGTGCTTGAACCTTTAAAAATAAAATTTTGTATAAAGAAAGAGGCCATTTTCAGTCATCATCATAACCAGTGATAGCATAATAATAAATAAGGAGCTATAAATAAAGATCTTATGGATGAGATCTAGAGCTTTATGCATTGTAATACTTGCTAATCTTAGATCAGTTGCCCCTGGTTCTTTAATTCTAACTAAGAAATGAAAGACAAATCATTCTAGATATGCACTGCTATGCTGAGAATGCCTACAAATATGTGTTTGATGAAAGATGAAACCAGGCAACAAAGCATGTTTTGTGTTCTCAGAGGTTACATACCTTCTTTGGTCCCTCTTGCTCTCATATTCTGTTTCTTCTCAGCTGGGTCTGGATATGGAGGAGCTGCAGGACATGGAGGAGGATGCTGGCCTGGGCAACGGAGGCCTTGGTCGACTGGCAGGTGAACTTAGTCTCTTTAAATGTGCTGATCGTGAGATTAATAGAGGGCTTGTTGTGATAGAGAGCTTAATTTCTCTTTTTCTGCAGCTTGCTTCCTGGACTCCATGGCAACCTTGGGCCTGGCAGCGTATGGATATGGAATCCGCTATGAGTTTGGAATCTTTAATCAGAAAATCGTGAATGGCTGGCAGGTAAAGCACACTTGCAACAATATCTCAGTGAAATGTATTTCACCTCTCTTGTTGCATTTGGGTCTTAGTAAATGATTGACATCATCTGACAGGCGGAGGAAGCGGATGATTGGCTGCGTTATGGCAATCCTTGGGAAAAAGCCCGGCCTGAATACATGCGCCCTGTGCATTTCTATGGTCGAGTGGAACACCACCCTGATGGAGTGAAATGGGTGGACACACAGGTGAGAGCAAAGCAACCATGTATCTATGTTTAATTGGAATGGAAATGTCATTATTCACATTGTGGAATACAAACTCATATTTGGGGCAGGGCTCTGAACCGGTTCAAGGAACGAAAACGAAAACCGGAAACGAACTAAATTTTATAGTTCCGAAAAGAATCGAAAATTTGAAATTGCCATTAACCGGTTAATAACGTTATTTTATCGTTCCATTTAATATTTGAAATTTGCTGTCAACCAATCACGAATTCCAGTAGTACGGCCTATGCCAATGTAACGCTGACGCCAACAAGTGAAATGCCCGCTCAGCTGTGAACTCATCATGGGTAAGTCGTAATGGCAATGCATCGGTGTTAGAGTTTATCCGAGGATAGTTTGAGAAGGATTCAACAGATCACACCCAACTGCAGCGCTTCTGTGAACGGAGAAAACAGAATAAAACTATAGGCTTACATAAAAAGGAATATAGGCATATACACGAAATATATTTCACTTAAATCACTGACAGATTTACAAAACGAAAGAAAAAATGTGCTGAGTTATGGTTCATTGTGACGCATTCCAAAGTTCTTGGAAAGGAAAACGAGACAGCAGAAAGTAGTTTTCTTTATCCAACTGCAGCGCTTCTGTGAACGGAGAAAACAGAATAAAACTATAGGCTTACATAAAAAGGAATATAGGCATATACACGAAATATATTTCACTTAAATCACTGACAGATTTACAAAACGAAAGAAAAAATGTGCTGAGTTATGGTTCATTGTGACGCATTCCAAAGTTCTTGGAAAGGAAAACGAGACAGCAGAAAATAGTTTTCTTTATTTTGCAAAAGCTTTACAGTTTTATTTATTTTGCAAAAGCTTTACAGTTTTATTTATTTTGCAAAAGCTTTACAGTTTTATTTATTTTGCAAAAGCTTGACAGTTTTGAATAATCAGAATCAGAATGAGCTTTATTGCCAGGTATGTTTTCACATACGAGGAATTTGTTTTCATGACAGAAGCTTCCGCAGTGCAACAGAACGACAGCGACAGACCAATAACACAGATAATAAAAGAAGAATAAAAAGTAGAACAAGTAAATAAGAAATAAAAATATATAAATTGACAATTGTATGTGCAGGTATATTACAATAAGACAATTTGAGGTGTAGACTAAGTGTGTGTGTTAGATAAATAAGTGTATGAGTGTATAAATAGTGTTGTGTGTTCCACAGTTATTGTCAAGTGTTCATGGGATGGATTGCCTGAGGGAAGAAACTGTTCCTGTGTCTGGCCGTTCTGGTGCTCAGAGCTCTGTAGCGTCGACCAGATGGCAACAGTTCAAAGAGGGAGTGTGCTGGATGTGAGGGGTCCAGAGTGATTTTGCTAGCCCTTTTGCTCACTCTGGATGAGTACTGTTTTTTCCCAGCCTCACTAGCTGCTGTCTGTCTGTCAGGAAGCTGTTGATCCACTGACAGACGGAGGTGGGCACGGAGAGCTGAGTTAGTTTGGGCAGGAGGAGGTTTGGGATGATAGTGTTAAAGGCCGAGCTGAAGTCCACAAACAGGATCCTCACATAAGTCCCTGGTCTGTCTAGATGTTGCAGAACATAATGCAGTCCCATGTTTACTGCATCGTCCACAGACCTGTTTGCTCTGTAGGCAAACTGAAGAGGATACAGCAAGGGTCCAGTAATGTCCTTCAGGTGGGCCCTTAAATGACTTCATGACAACAGATGTTAGAGCCACAGGCCTGTAGTCATTAAGTCCTGTAATTTTGGATTTCTTTGGGATGGGGATGATGGTGGAGCATTTGAAGCATGAAGGGACTTCGCACAGCTCCAGTGATCTGTTGAAGATCTGTGTGAAGATGGGGGCCAGCTGGTCAGCACAGGATTTCAGAGAGACTGATAATGTCTTGCTTCTACCTGTATAACCATCCAGCGTTGGTATGACCATCGTGCCGGCACCTCACGCGCACACACAACATATTTTTGCGACATTGCAGCCTGTTCATTATCAAAATAAAATAGTTAAAGAAACAAATAAAAAGTTACACTGCTCCGTTGTACAAAATCTGTTGCTTTCAGCGTGACCACCGCCTCACTGTAAAGGATGATGTCGATGAATGTACAAAGCCTAGCCTATAATAAATAATATTTTAGCATCCAGATATGTCGCGAATATGGAAACATTTGGATTCGTGCTGAATGAGAGAGGTAGGCATCAGTTTCACCTTAAATTAATTTGTTTTTGGATTGACGTTTTTATAGCCTAAACGCATAGCCTTAACTTTAGAGGATTTGTTGTGGAGAGAAACTAATAACTGTGTTTATAAAGTTTGTAAACATTTTGCTTTAGCTACCGCATTTTAGCCTACATTATTTCTGAATGTAATAGGGCTAATAAAATGCGACGTGAGCCTATAAGCTACTTATGTTTTTTTTAACACTCAAAATCTTGTACAAGTAGCGTTTTTTTAACAATGCAGCAAACATTTTTAAATATCTTAAAAATACTTTAATGTCTTTTGATAGTTTTTTCCCCTTTTGTTTAGTAGCCTACATTTGGCCAAAATCTAGAAAAGATGATGCTGTATTGGCTGTGAATGTTGAATGTTTCCAGAATTATAATGTAGCCTACATTGATAATAAATCAGCATATTAGAATGATTTCTGAAGGATCATGTGACACTGAAGACTGGAGTAATGATGCTGAAAATTCAGAGTTGCATCACTGAAATAAATTACATAAAAAAACTGTTATTTTAAATTGTAGTAATATTTACCAATATTTTAATAATAATAGTTTTTACTGTGTTTTTGACCAAATAAATTAAGCAATTGATTTTTGTTGAGTGTAAGAGACTTCTTTCAAAAATATAAAAAAAATCTTACTGACCCCAATGTTTTGAACGGTAGTGTACATCAGGAAGGTCAGCCTAAAGCAGAACAACCAATATGCAAAGCAAGACCTAGATTGTGACATCTTCCCATTAAATCTGTATCAGGTCGTCCTTGCCCTTCCCTATGACACACCTGTCCCAGGATACAGAAACAACATTGTTAACACTATGAGGCTCTGGTCTGCCAAAGCTCCATGTGAATTCCACCTCAAAGACTGTGAGTTCTCTTCAATCAATCAATGAATGTTTCTAAGACATTTTAACCAGCCCTATAAGCCTTATTATTCATCATAAGCTTTCATTATAAGCCTTATCATTCATTTATCATTATGTAAATATCTAGTATTACATATAAATGTGATCCTGCACCACAAAACCAGTACCATACAATACATTGTATGGGTCAAAATGATTGATTTTTCTTTTATGCCAAAATCTCATTAGGATATTATGTAAAGATCTTGCTCCATGAAGATATTTTGTAAATTTCCTACCGTAAATATATCAAAACTTAATTTTTGATTAGTAATTTGCATTGCTAAGGACTTTTTTCTCTTCGCTCTAAGGCGATTTTCTCAATATTTTGATTGTTTTGCACCCTCAGATTCCAGATTTTCAAATAGTTGTATCTCGGCCAAATATGGTCCTATCCTAACAAACCAATTCAATAAAAAAAAAATTGTACCCTTATGACTGCTTGGTTTTGTGGTCCAGGTTCACAAATGTAAATATAATTTATATATAAAAAAGAAACCTTATTGACCTCAAACTGTTGAATGGAAGTGCGAACTGTATCTTTGAGCCTTAGATCTTTCTCTCTCCCTAAACAGTTAATGTTGGTGGTTACATCCAGGCCGTTCTGGACAAGAATCTCGCTGAGAACATCTCCCGTGTGCTTTACCCTAATGACAATGTGAGTGCAACTCAAGTGATTCATATTAAGAAACAAAACTCATGACTCTTGGAGCCTAAATGTAGACAGATCCTCCTGTTTGTATATGCCAGTTCTTTGAGGGGAAAGAGTTGCGTCTGAAGCAGGAGTATTTTGTGGTGGCTGCGACTCTCCAGGACATCATCCGCAGGTTCAAAGCCTCCAAGTTTGGCTCAACTGAGGTGGTGCGCATGGATCTGACCACACTGCCAGATAAGGTAAGATAGTCCGGGAGCTCTTTGTTTCATGTTACACACCGGAGTGTAGAGAACATTCAACACAGTTTGTGTCATATCTGGTGTGATTTATTCATATGAATAATACTGAATAATAAAACCTAATGCATTAAAAACTGTTAAAGAGGTCCTTCCTTTGTCTGTTTTGTTCAGGTTGCTATACAACTGAATGACACTCATCCTGCAATGGCCATCCCTGAACTGATGAGAATACTGATGGATGATGAGAAATTGTCCTGGGACACGGTGAGCTGAAAAATCCTCGTTTATCATGCTCAAAAAAAGATATGCAGTCAAACTATAGGACTATTAAATTGATTATTAGGGGTAATATAAGGACATGACATTTAAATTGGCTGATTTCTAGAATGGAGCCTTTTTACTGAATGTGATGACATCTTAACAGTTGTGAACATTGTTAATCAAATTTTTTCTGCATTTTTTATATTTTCAATTTTTACATTTAATGTACATTTATAACACTATACTGTACTTTTTATTGTTTTACCTTGACGGTACATTTCAGAGAACTAGTTAATTGGCGACAAAATTGATATTTGGTCTTTTTGCTACCATAATCAACCTCTCGATACTTTTTACTCTTGTGGGAACACAAAAAATATACTTCTTGTAGTTTCCTTTCACCACTATAGAAGTTTACTCAGCTATGACTTTCTCTTCTGTGAACCCCAGAAATGTGAAAAGGGTCCATAAAATTTTGCCCATGTGGACAAGACCATAAGGGCGTGTTCACACTTGGCGTCTTTTTTGGCAAGAAATAGTTGACAAGAGCGCTTTTTCAGTAAAATAAAAAGCTGACAGCGTTTTAGTTACAAATAGCAGCCGAGGGCGTCTTTTGTTGCTATAACAACAGCTACAAAAGTAGCCTAGCGCTATATGCTGCAGAAATGTCGAGAAAGAGTAAAAAGTTGGCTCTTGCGTTGCCTTTTGAAGTTAACGGGGAGGAGAATGTCGGTTCACAATGATGTTTGTGGGTGCGCAACATTATACAGGGAAGAAAACAGTATGGTGCTTACAACAATTTAGTTCAGGAGCTCCGGTTGAATGATGCACGGTTTGTGGCATATTTTAGACTAAGTTAGATACAGTTTTGTGCTCATATAATACAACTCCTTGTGCTCCGAAACTAGTACGAACGAATCTACCGGCTATCTTTTCCATTTTTCTTGTTGTTTTTGTTGTTATGGAAATGACTCGCCACTCGCTTGTCATTGGTCAGCTGTCAAAAAAGGCGCTTGACCTAGGGCGTTTTTTTTTCTTCAGAAAAGTTGAATTTTTTTCAACTTGAAAAGACGCTCTGAGCTGCAGAAAAAGACGCCGGCAGTGGCGTTTTAAAAAGCACTCAGGACTTTTTTGAAAACACGGTTAACTCCATAGGATTATAATGTAAAACAGACGCTGACAGCGTCAAAAAAGATGCCAAGTGTGAACATAGCCTAATGTTGTACTCCTCTTCTAATTTCTGTTTTTCCATCGCTCTGCCACTACTTGACTTTCTGTCATTCTCTTTCTTCTCAGGCTTGGGACATCATTGTGCGTACTTGCGCATATACTAACCACACTGTCTTACCAGAAGCTCTGGAACGCTGGCCTGTCGACCTGTTCCAAAACCTCCTGCCCCGTCACCTAGAGATCATCTACGAGATTAACCGACGTCACCTGGAGGTCTGGGAACAGATGTTCTCTTCATGGCACATTGCATTTGAAATTTACTTGTAGATAAAAAATAGATTTGATGTGTTTTGAAGGGGTTGGGAGATCAGTAACTGCATTTGGACTGTAGGACTGAAGGACTGTGTCCACTCCAAATAAGGAGTAAACTGCACAGTGAGGTTATATAAACAACCTCTTCTGCTCAACATGACTCAGCATCCAGTAAATTGCAGATGAAGAAAAGTAACTTCCCATGTACTTTCTTGCCCGTTACGCTCTGTTTTGACCTTACATCTTCTGTCTGGTTTCTCAGCGGATCTCTGCGCTCTACCCTGGTGATCATGATCGTTTGAGACGCATGTCTCTTATTGAGGAGGACGGGCAGAAGAAGATCAACATGGCCCATCTCTGCATCGTTGGCTCTCACGCAGTCAATGGCGTGGCACAAATCCACTCAAACATTATTAAGGACACTGTGTATGTCTTTTAATGTGTTTACATTACAGCTCAGTGGCCCCAAAAAAGTATTTGGACACCTAAATCACATTTAAAAATATATTCTACTCTTTAAAAGTTTGGGTTCAGGAAGATTTTTAATGCCTCCAAAAGAAGTTTCTCAAGTCTCTCACCTAGGCTGCATTTATTTGATGAAAAATTCAGTAAAAACAGAAATGCTGTAAAATATTATTACAATTTAATGTTTTCTATTTTAATTTATTTTAAAATTAAATTTATTCCTGTGATGACAAAATACATTTTTCGCCAGCCATTACTCATAATCATTCTAATATGCTGATTTGGTGCTCAAGAAACATTTCTTATTATTATCATTGTTGAAAACAGTTGTGCTGCTTAATATTTTTGTGGACAGCCTGAAAATAGAAATACTTTGTAAAGTTAAAAATTTATTTTCTGTCACCTTTGATCTGTTTAATAAATCCTTGCCTAACAAAAGTATCATAAAAAAAGCCCAAACATTTGAATATGAGCATTTATTTTGAGGAAAGACAACATAAGCATATTTGTCCACAGCAATGACATTCATATATTTGCATCTTAAATGTCCAAATACTTTTAAAGGCCACTGTTTATATCAACATAATATGTCTGTCATTACGATAATTTCATGTAGTGTTTAGCCCTGGTTAAAAAAAGCTCTATCTAATTTGGTTGGGTTGATTCTGTGTTCAGTTTTAAGGACTTCTATGATGTGGACCCACAGAAGTTTCAGAACAAGACCAATGGTATCACTCCTCGTCGCTGGCTTGTCATGTGCAACCCAGGACTGGCTGAGGTTATCGCTGAGGTAAAGAACATTGCTGATAAAAAAGTTAGCAGTACATGTATGAACAGGTAGGGAGCACTACACTCTTAAAAATAAAGGTGCTTCAAAAGGTTCTTCACAGCGATGCCATAGAAGTCAAAGGTTCTTTAAAGAACCATCTCTTTCTTACCTTTTTATAATCTGAAGAACCTTTTTTCACCACAAAGAACCTGTTGTGAAACAGAAAGGTTCTTCAGATGTTAAAGGTTCTTTATGGAACCATTTAGACAAAAAGGTTCTTCTATGGCATCGTGAAGCACCTTTATTTTTAAGAGTGTACTGAGAAAACATACACAAAGTATAATAATTCATTACATTTATATAGCGCTTTTCTAGGCACTCAAAGCGCTTTACATTGTCAGGGGGTATCTCCTCATCCACCACCAGTGTGCAGCATCCACCTGGATGATGCGACGGCAGCCATAGTGCGCCAGAACGCCCACCACACACCAGCTTATTGGTGGAGGGGAGACAGAGTGATGAAGCCAATCAGCAGATATGGGGATTGTTAGGAGGCCATGATGATCAGAGGCCAATGGGCAAATTTGGCCAGGATGCCGAGGTCACACCTCTACTCTTTTCGAAAGACATCCTGGGATTTTTAATGACCACAGAGAGTCAGGACCTCGGTTTAACGTCTCATCCGAAGGACGGGATATAATAACCATAGTAGGGATGGGTGATACCTCTAATTTTATTTTCAATCCGATACCGATATTTTCAAGCCCAGTATCGCCGATATCGATACCGATACCTCTAAACTAAACTGATCTTTTAAATTATTAAAAGAATATAATCAGTAATTATACTCACTTACTATTAGATTTTAAAGCCATGTTTTTTAACATTTCATAGGCCTTTTTTGTTTACACTGTCAGAAATAAAATATACTATAATTGTACATTAGCCCTATTAGGGGCAGTAACCTCAAAGGTGCAACTATACCCCTAAAAGTGAGCATAGTGGTACCATTCAAGTATGCATGCTTTAAGGGTAGATACATTACAAAGGTGAACTTTTGAGGATACCTCATGAGAAATAAACATGGTGTTACATAAGTACTAAAATGTATTATTATTATTATTACCATGGTAAATTTGTGGTTACTTCCATTTTAGTACAAATACTGTGGTAAACTGTGGTTACTGTAATAAAACCATGGTTAATTTTTGGAAAAGGCTGCCAGGCTGTTGGACCCCTAAAGGAGAAACTTTAGCATATTTTTTTCTGACATATTTATTAACAGCAATTACAGAACATAACACAATCCATTTGAACTTTTAACAACCAGTTTAAATAAATTTACTTGCACAAATTAGCCAATTTAAAATAAATTTTGGGGTCAGTAAGATTTTGTAATTTTTTTTAAAGTCTCATGCTCACCAAGGCTGCACTTATTTGGGGGGGGGGAACAGTAAAAGCAGCAGTATTGTGAAATATAACAATTAAAATAACTATTTTCTATTTTAATATATTTTAAAATGTAATTTAAAATGCATCTGTGATCAAAGCTGAATTTGCAGCATCATTACTCCAGTCTTCAGTGTCACATGATCCTTCAGAAATCATTCTAATATCATTTGCTGCTCAAGAAACATTTATTATTATTGCTGCTTCATATTTGTGTGGAAACCGTGATGCATTTTTCAGAATTAATTTTATATACAGTAACAATGTTATGTAGGCTAATGTAATAATGTGGCAATGGTTTCTATAGATCTACTTAAGCTTCTGATGCTTTTGGGAAACGCAGCCCTATTTGACCAAGCTCTGTGAGCCATGCGTCAGCAGCGAACGCTGCCTGTGATTGATTGGTTCTGTCTTTCAGCATTTGCGTGTGTTCCGATGAGCAGGAGAAATGGTTCTATCCAACACAATTATTCGCTAATATACTTAGAAGCTTTATGCACCGAATTTCTTGATAAATTAATAAAATTAATGGTTAAAAAATGCACTTTAGAATCAATATTTTTATGTGAGGATCGATCTTTTCAATACAACATCAGTATCGAAAGTATCGATACTTAAGGATCGATCCGCCCATCTCTAAACCGTATTTGATTTTAGTCCAAGCCAGTCAAAAGCTTTGTGTGAGAAACACTGTGAAATTTAAATCATAATGTCTTGTGTTAAACATTAGAGAATTGGAGAGGAATACATCCGTGACCTGAGCCAGCTGAAGAACCTCTTAAAGTTTGTGGATGATGATGCTTTCATTCGAGACATTTCCAAAGTCAAACAGGTGAGACAGAAAATATCCCACAGTCAAAGTGAGTTGTGCATATTCTACATAAACATGATTGCCACCACATGATATATTGCTTTGTCTTTTTCAGGAGAGTAAGATGAAATTTGCGATGCATCTAGAAGAACAATACAAGGTGACGATTAACCCACACTCCATGTTTGATGTTCACGTGAAGAGGATCCATGAATACAAAAGACAGCTGTTGAACTGTCTGCACATCATCACCCTCTACAACCGTAAGTCAATAATAATTCAGGTTTCTCTTGAAACAGCTAAATATTATTCCAGCTTTACAAGCTTCCCATTCAATGGTGAAACCAAGTCATGCATATCTAGTATGCTACTGGAAAGTTTGGAACATTTATTTCATAACTTTTCATATACTACTTTTATTTCAGTAGGCAGTATACAGTGTGTACTGTGCAGTATGCACTAAACAGCAAGCTATTATTCCTTTCCAAAGATAGTCTACTTTACCTTTACTATTTTGTGTGATCAGGCATCAAGAAGGAGCCCAACAAGGCCTGGACTCCTAGGACCATTATGATTGGAGGAAAGGTTAGACTGATCACTTCACTGACCAATCTGTTCTATTCTACTCAAGTTTGAATGCTAATTGGCTAAATCATGCATCTTCAAGGCCGCTCCTGGGTATCACACAGCTAAGATGATCATCAAACTTATCACAGCAATTGGAGAAGTGGTAAATAATGATAGTGTGGTGGGAGATCGTCTGAAAGTCATCTTCCTTGAGAACTACAGGGTTACACTGGCTGAGAAAGGTAGAATGCAAACTTAGTGACAGATTTTATCATTGGATCAGCTTCCTGTCTTATTAATTCATTCACATAACTCGCTCTGCCTGCTTCTTTCTCTCTTTTTCAGTCATCCCTGCAGCTGACCTGTCCGAGCAGATCTCCACAGCAGGAACAGAAGCTTCTGGAACAGGCAACATGAAGTTCATGCTGAATGGAGCTCTGACCATCGGCACCATGGATGGGGCTAACGTGGAGATGGCAGAAGAGGCGGGAGAAGAGAACTTCTTTATCTTCGGCATGAGAGTGAAGGATGTGGAAGCTCTGGATAAGAAAGGGTGACAGCAAGCGTCAATGAACGATTTGCTGAATAGCATTTTATTTGTTTGTTTTAGCGCATTCATTTATTCATGTTTATGAAAGCTTTATCTATTTAAATTAATTTTTTTGAACATTCATCTATTTAAACAGAGTAATAAAATTCAAATGTTCTCAGTTTTACTGCACTGAAGGAAACGTTGCAAATGACTTAGTTGAAGTTGGTTTATTTCCAGATATGATGCCATGGAGTATTATAACCGCATTCCAGAACTAAAGCAAGTCATGGATCAGATCTCTGGAGGATTCTTCAGCCCTGGAGAACCTGATCAGTTTAAAGACATTGTTAAGATGCTGATGCACCATGACAGGTAAGAAAAGCAAAAACAAACAAACAAAAAAATCCCAAAAAGTGCTATGTCTTTTTTGGATATCTATGTCCATTTCTCACATAGCCACAGATTAACAGTGATCATATAAATTGTTAATTATTTTGGTTGTCTGGTGTGATTGCAGGTTCAAGGTGTTTGCTGACTATGAAGACTACATTAAATGTCAGGAGAAAGTCAGCGCCCTGTATAAGGTTTGTATTACAAAAAACATGAAATGTTTCAGCGTATTTCAGGAAGAGTTTCTAGCCAAAAGCCTTTAGTTTAATCAGAGCCTGGCTAAACTTATTTGCTACAAACTTAATAGGAAGGACATTTTCATTCTAGAGCGCATTTTATTAGACAAAAATACATTTGTACAAAAGTTTGGGGTCCGTAATGTGTTGTTTTTGAACGAAATCTATTAAAAACATTCTGAAAAAATGTATCATAAATTCAACAAAAATATTAAGAAGCACTGTTTTAATAGTTGATAATAATACCTGTCCCAAATCAGCATATTAGAATGGTTTCTGAAGGATCATGTGATGCTGAAGACTGGAGGCTGTTGAAAATTCAGCTTTGCCATCACACGGACAAATTACGTTGTAAAATATATTTGAACAGAAAACGGTTATGTAAAATGGTAATAACGTAGTAACATTAACGGTTTTAGTGTATTTTTGATTAAATAAATGCAGCCTAGGTGAGCATAGCGTACTTTCTTCAGAAACATTAAAAAACGTACAAACCCCAAACTTTTGATCGGTAGTGTATGCGAACAAAATGAGTTATTAATATTTTTGGTCCATTTTGCCTGAAGGAGACAATGTTTATATGTGACATCATTTTGAAAGCTGAATTAATAAGCTTTCCGTTTATGTATAGTTTGTTAGGATAGGATTTGGCCGAGATACAACTATTTGAAAATCTGGAATCTGAGGGTGCAAAAAAATCTAAATATTGAGAAAATTGCCTCTAAAGTTGTCCAAAAAACAAGTTTTGGATCTTTCAATTCAAGATGACTGTTCCATCAGTGACAGAACACAAGTTTATTTAAAAACATGTCCTATAATTCCCTTCTAATTTAATGTAATGCTTTAAAGAGCTTTAACACACAACAGAAAACCAGTGCAGGGCCTGACTCGAAACGTGTTCCTTTTCCTCGTTCTCAAACAGAATACTAAAGAATGGACCAAGATGGTCATCCACAACATTGCTGGTTGTGGCAAATTCTCCAGCGACCGCACCATCGCCCAGTACGCTCGTGAGATCTGGGACATGGAGCCTAGTCTGGAGAAGATCGCAGCCCCAGACGACCCCCGCTAAGTCGTTCCACAGCATCAAAATCTTCCATCTGTTGTAGCTGTTCTCACATTCAGTTTATCTACCATTGTGACGATGTATAAAGGTGATTTTAACATTGACATGTCATAGGAGATGTTTCTCCATCCAGAATACCTCACAACCCTGCTCCAGCGACGAGCTGTCAGCGCATCTAGCTTTGTGGCATGTTAATAATATACAGTATGTGTTGGTGTAAGAATGTTAAGTTTTTTTCTGTGAAATATTATGAAAAGATATGAAGTATTTGTCTATCCATGCCAGCAGAACAGCACAGCCTCATCCTGGAGAACCGAACATACACTGTGAGGGCAAAGTATAGCAAAAACCTTTATTTTGCTACATATCACAGCATGATGATGACAAAGTTGTGGCAAAATGTTTGAATTTTGAATCACTTATACTCTATTTTAGTTTTGACAAGCAGTTATTACGTGAACAGTTTGGGCTTTAATGACTTAAAAATGGCACAATATAAAATACCTGTCTGTCACATGTTCTGACTTCGTAAAAAGACCTGCCTTAACCATACAAGTGTTGTTTGTGTATGTTTAGGTCTAAATCTCTGCCTGTCTTTCATTGGCCTCTTGATGCTCATGACTTGTTCTTTCACCCGCAGAGCTCCTCACTTTAGCACATTAGGCATGATCTGTCACTTTTGTCCTCATGAAGTGTTGTATTCTTTCCACATATACTGTTGTAACTCTGGACTGGTTTTCACACCACATAAAATAAGACCTGCAGGAATGATGGGGCCCTGCAGAAAACTTTGCTTGAATCCAGTGAGGTAGCAAAACTAATATAGCACTGAAGTGTGATTCTCTATACCGACCAGGCTGCGTTCAAGACCCTGACATGTATTTACTCTGATATATTGTGATAGACTTATATATTTAGAATAGGAAATTAATGTATGGTGCAGTGCTTTTGGAATTGCAAATATGCAATTAAACTAGGCATAAATTGGTGGCTTAGTGATAATGGATGGTGGTTTATTTATGTCACCCTTACATGGACTTGCAACCGAACCTGCAACTTATTTAGTTAGCAGCTCCAGCCGCCACCGTCCCCTCCAGTGATCTTGTCGAGTATTCTGTTCTCTCTGAATGTTCTGCCCGTATTGTGGGTGACAACACACACCAAACAGACCTACTGATGCCCTTGAAGAGTGACAAAATGAAATAAAGATATTAAGAGTGATGCTGTTTCTGCTTTTTGCAAGTATTATGTTGGTCTTACATGTGACAATACTATCTTTCAAAAGTTTTGATTTAAAAAATATGTTTTTTGAAAGAAATTCAGAAATCCTTTAGAAATCATTCTAATAATATGCTTATTTGGTGCTGAAGAAACATTTATTATTATCAAAATAGAAAACATGATTTTGTTTAGAAATCTTATGCATGTTAAACAATGTTAAAATCTTTACTCCTACTTTCTAAATTGTATTTATTGCATCCTTGCTGAATAAAATAATTATATATACTTATATATATTTGAAATATGCTAAATGTAATGGATATTAATGTATTATAACCAGCATTTTAATCACAGTTTTTTTTTTCAAATTTATACAGTTATGAAATTATTTTTTATACCAAGATTTCCCCCGTAGTCAACGACTGAAAGCTTAACATGTACTGTATAACCAGTTAGCTTTGTAATCACATTTGATCTTTTCTACACGAGTTCTGAAATGATTTTAATACTAAGATTTTCCACATAGTCTTTCAGTTAATATGAGATCAACAGTTAACGTTTAATTGGTATACAATAACTAGAAAAAATGCTTAAAATTGTTTATCTGAAGGACTCTGTTGTCGCAGTACTACACAATATAAGTGCTGCTGGAGAAAAATGAAATTAATTTCAGTAACTCCCCAAGACGTTGGACGGCGCTATTGACCTCCAAACACGTCAAGTTCAGCCGTTCCCGTTTTTGAGGAAGGGAACAGTTATTGAATTAAACCCCCCTTTCCCAAAGATGCATCGGTACACGGACACCTTCCTCTTTCAGCTTGATCACATGCTAAAGGTCTGCACGGTCGGACTGAAGGCATGCGTGCTGGAGAGGCTGTGAGATGCTTTTGCCGGATGAAGTGTGACGCACCAGTTGACGGAGCTGGCAGACAGCTGTGAAAGATTAGCTCTCGGCATTGCTTCATCGAAGGACTTTCAAATCCAGATCACAAGACTTGGCGCCTCCGTAAAGTCCGGAAGAACCACAGTGGTATGTATCAAACTTTTTAGCTCAGGTCCAGCCACTTCAGAGTCAGTTGGACCGATCGAATCATTCAGAAGAACGAATTAGCATCGATTGAAGAGTCGCGTGACAGATCGCTAGATAAATGACAGTTGTGTTGTTTAGATGTGGTAACTAAAACATCCAAAGGGTAAAGTGTTATCAGCTACTTCAAATACTCAAATAGAGGACATCAATAACTAGGTCACTTTTTTTGCTCGAACTCTGCAATAATTGACAAACTATCTGATGACTTTAAAAGTGGTCAATAAAATCAGTATTAACTAACGTAACTTACTCGGAAGCCTTCATACGACGATGTTGTGTTTTTGGAAATTGTTTGTGTAATATTATATTAGTTGGTTTGTAAAATGTTAGCGGAGCAAGATAAAGGAAGTGGTGGAGTTTGAAACCTGAGTGAGTTTTATTAACATCATTTCAGAAACCTAGTCGAAAGGTGGGTGACCGATGCCCCACTTTTGCGGTAGGTTGGAAACCGGTGCTTATGAATTTCCTGCACTACTTACTCGATTTATAGTCTACTGATACTTGCACCGCCATTGGCTCTGCAGTATAGAGCGATTCACGAACAAATTATTCATCTGCCGGTTTTTAGGGCATCAAAACATACAGCGCGACTAGCGTAGTCCGATTCTTGAACGAATGACTCGTATGAGCCGATTCTTTTTAGTGAATCAGAAACACACAGCGCGACCAGCGTAGCCCGATTCTTGAACGAATGACTCGTATGAGCCGATTCTTTTTAGTGAATCAGAAACACACAGCGCGACCAGCGTAGCCCGATTCCTGAACTGTAGACTCTTATGAATTGCTTCATTTTGGTTTATTAATAACGTTCAGCGTGACCAGCATAGTCATTCAAATCTTGATAAACACACCATTTACTGGAATTGTGTCATGTTTATTAGTGATTGCTCATATCTGCTGTGCTGGAACGATGTCGTAATTTCGCAACAGACTGCTGAGGACGAAAAGTGGACGAAGAATACCCCCTCAGTCCACTATATGACCTTGTATTCTCTCCGCTCTGACAAAGGTGATGGACAACGGAGGGTTTTGCGACGATAATTATCAGAGTGGAAGCAGTGATGATGAGCTGGTGGATATTTCAGACGTTACAGTGGACTTCAGTGAGGATGTCCCGCCTCTGGATCGAGATTACAGCGCGGGTAGGACGCACGCACTACAGAAGATATTAACCTCTTATATTAGACACACTGTACTTTTTTAGCTTTTATCAAAGAACTTTATGCTTTGGCAAGATGAACTGGTTTGTTTTGGTGTTTAGGTTTTGTTTTACAAACCATATTTGATAGATAAAGCATAGACTGCAGTTTGAATGGAGTATCACACATTTGTCTTGTCAAACATGTAGGTGTCAGTTTGCTGGGATCAGATCACTCTGCTCTCTGCGCAGATACTGATGATGCTGTGTGACAGACTGTTATCATACCAGGAAGTTCCTTTTTCATGTCTGTTTCACAATCTACAGCGCCTTCCTCTTTTCACTCTTCCTTCTCGGCTGTGTTTTACCTTAACCTCGTGAAGCCTGATTTATGAAATAGTCAGAAAGTCTAGTTTCTTTCAAATGGAAACGTTTTAGACTAAATCTTAAAAAATACAAAAGTCTGCATGTTGTTTTTTTTTTACTGAGTGTCATATTTGATACAACAGGTTTTTATGATTCATATAGTATGATATAGTTCTCAAGGAGTAAAAAAAACTGAGCAAAAAATAAGCAATTTGGTGCAGTTGCTGATATTTGTATGGCCAAAAAGATAAAATTATGATCGCTTGTAATGTAACTCAGTGAGATATTTAGCAGTGTAGCAGACTAGCATAAAATGCATATAAATATTTCCCGAAATTACGGGGTGGGAAGATGTTATTTAAATGCTTAAGTTACCAAAGCTAGTTTTTATTGTTGGGGTCAAATCATAACGCAGTGCAGTACAATGATGATCGAGCGATTATGCAGATAAGCACTCCTCCATAACCTGTTGTATTTTTGATACTCACATTTTAACACAATTTTTTTCTATAAAAAACAAAAAAACGAACAAAAAAATATGTGTGGATAATCAGGTAATTAATAAATATAAGGTAAAAAAGGATAGGATAATTTGACTTTTATCTCACAGTTCATACATTTTCTTGCAATTCTAAGAATGAATTCAGAATCCAAAAATAACTCTGAATTGCAAGAAAAAAGTATGAATTGTGAGATAAAAAGTCAGTATAAACTTTTCATGTTTACATCGCACAATTCTCAGTTTGTTCACAATTATGAGTTTGTGAATTTATTATTTTTTTATCCCATGGTGTTCATTTTGAAACTGTTAATTTTGAAACAATATAAAAGTTATTAAACATGTATATACAAAAGTCAGTGTAGATTTCACAGCAAAAAGACACGTGTGCCACAGCCTGAAGTGGAACATATTTGTATTTAAGGATTTTACTTGCTAAAATCCTTGTTCCAAGGAACTTAAATGAGCACCATAGTATTACCGTGGTTGTTTATGGTAATATTATGTTAGTGAAATGTTCTTTATGTGTGCATGTGTTTTGTGTGGGTGTTCTGAATAATTCGAATGAAGTTCAGCATGAAAACCCTTTATTCTTCCAATGTTTGAGCAAACAATGGCAAAATACTAATGAATTGTGTGTACCTAGGGCAACATTATGCACTCTGTGTTTCAGCTTTGTTTCAGTGATGCACTGAAAGATGAAGAGAAAATAAAGTGAGGGAGGAGGGGAGAGATCAGTGACAAGTATTTTAGAGAATCTAGCTCATGGAGACAGAACTGTGTGCCCTCAATTCTGTCTGAGGTTTACAGCAAGCATGACATGATTATACTGATAAATGTACGAGACAGTCATGAGTCACTTTCCCAGGCAGGAAGTGTAGTTACCGCCTCCGTGTGCATTTTACCACTTGTTGAAGTATGATACTTGTTGTCAGAACAAGCTGCATGATCCGTTGCTCAGTATTCATTGGAGTCATGTCAGCACAGTTATACTTTAAAGATACCAGCAACATTTGCATAATTTCATTTCTTAAGAATGATTTGAAGATTTTAAGAACTGAGAGGAAGTACAATGAAAGTTCATTTTAGGTTGAGCTGCTGTTTTCATGGTAAATAAATGTCTATTCTCTTTCCTTCTCTTACTCCGTCTTTACTCGTTTTATTAATTAGTTTTTTTACTTAACTGTATCATAAGTAAAAGAGCCAACATATGAGACCAAAGTGAATTGAATAAGACTATATAGAACAGAATAATAATAAAAGCACACAGACTTGTTTTACAGAGCTTCTGGTTCCTCTTAAACCCCCATGCTTTAAACATCTTTTCCTCCTTAATGTTTTTCCACCAAGTCAAAGTACATCAGACTCAAATAAAGGTTTATGGGCCAAAGTCCACACTGTTCCCTTAGCCTTATTTTCCCATAGATCTATTTTGAGCGCTAACATTTCCTGTTAATTTCCTCTTCAGCCTATTTGAGTATGATTTGAACATTCAAACATTAAAAAAGACAACCAAAAATGCAAGTGTAAGATAAAAACAAAGCTTTGCTGAGGAATGGCAAACGTTTTGATTACAACATAACTTTTTCAGCGCCTAATTACAATTTAAGATGACTCTTGCACCTGTAATTAAGCACTGAAGAAGAT